GCGATTTTCTGTGGAAAAATGTACATCTGTGCTGAGAGAGTTCCATTCGGCTGTGGAGACAATTACAGGTTAATTCTTTCATATAATTAATTAATGTATTTTTTAAACTAACTCATGTTTGGATAAAAAATTTGGTTTGACATGATTATTTCAGTTATCTTAAACATACTGAGAAAATTTTGAAGTTTGCAACAAATGGACTATGTATGTATAATAAAACAATTAAATGCTTGATTTGATCTTTTACATTATGCAGACGTTTTACTTGAAAAGGGAGAGATTAAGGCAGATGAAATCTGGGATATATACAATAGAGCACCTCAAATATCTCAGGTAGTTTTCTATTCAAGGAATGACATGTTTAGGGAAAACCTAAATGCATGGACTGAAAATTTGGTTGTGATGTACTTCAAGCATTAGTTAGCAGAGTTGTATGTTTGAGCTATATAGGTGCAATTTAAATGGTAGAATGTTATTTTTTGATGATGCATTTATCTCATTGCTTTTGGTGATTGCATGGTTGATGCTTCGCCCATTGTACAGCCTACTGTCAATCCAGTTGATGAATATGGAGCCCTAATATATGCTGGGCGATGGGGCATCCATGGAATCACGCTTCCTGGGAGGGTTACGTTTGCACCTGGAAATTCTGGGTTTTCAACTTTTGGTGCGCCTCGTCCCATGGAGGCAAGTTGGGCAAGACTTTATTTGATCATATTTTTCATTTCTGACTTCTTACAGCAATGCTGATTCTTTTCGAAACTTCTTTCCAATTATTTGTGCAGACTCAAACGGTTAGTGATGAACTTGGAAGCTCATAGATAATATTTGGGATAAAAGGATTGAAGAAATAAAACTGAAGCTTCAACGGAGGTTGAAGAAGAGAAGGAGAAGCCACAACTTTTGATTGCCAGTCATTTCCTTTGAAGTCACGGTAACGCTTTTCTTCTTAGTCGAGAGCAATATTTTGATTTGAGATGTTCCTTTTCTTCTCTCTGTAATTCCTTTTGCAGTACACATGTGGTGGTTTATGCGGTAAGCAGTCCTATATGTTGAATTTAACTGTATATCTTTCTTTTTGGGGAGGTATGGAACAGATCTGTTAAACCGTTGCAAGAGGCTTTATCCTTCTCGGCTTACATAATCTGCTAGAGAGTTGATGTTTCCGCATGAACTACACTCTATGATGGCAACGTTTGCACCACTGCAGACTCCCCTGATTACGAACTGTTGAGCAATTGAGCCATCATCATAGGATTTTTATTTTCCGGGCTCGGTTGTTTGTATACTTCTATTAGAAGTGAGATACGACACAGAATTGCATGTAAAGCAGACCGGACCTTTCAAGGCATTCTAAATAGAATTATTGCTGCTAGCTGTAGAATTCTAATGAATTTTGTGAATGATCCAAATGGAAAATCTCCTTTTCTTGTATCCTCTTAGTTATGGGAGTATGCAACTAAAACCTTCTGCCATCTTATTGTAACAAAATATGATTTTAAAACTGAATCAATTATTTATGGTATGGTTAGGTTAGACCCTGAAGGGAGCAGTTCAACATCTAAATCGCCTTTCAACTTCCGTTGAGATGGAAGCTTTGGAAGGAGAGCGGCAATCCGTTAGCGCTTTCCAAATACGACGCATACTTATGAACGATGGAAGAAAATCACCGTTCTTTTTGGCATCAGTTTTGTCTCTCACGCGATCCGTGTTTATTGCCTGAAAAGCACTAGCCAAATCAAGGACATGAATGCCATCATCTGGGTTCTCCTCGAGTGCCTTGTTCTTGAACGTCCAGTTGCCTGTTCTGATGTCAAAAAGGTACAAGGAACCGTTGCCCATATATGGCTAGAAACTCCAGTGCAGCTACAATGTATTCGAACTCCTCATTCGACATGTAGTAAGGAGAGCTAACTCTTGTCCATCCAGGTTTTGCTCCAACATACCCCCTGCAATTCACAGTCAATCATAGTAAACATCGGCGATAAACAACGACACTCCCCAAACCCAAACCATTTTCCAGACGTTAAGTTCGTACAAGTACCATTTTGATAGCTTCTATAATGGCTAGGGACCGAGCCCGGCCGATACCAAGCATGCAGTGACCATAAGGCCCAGCACAACAACACCCGCCTCGGGCTTGGATGCCAAAAAGGTCATTTAGGAGAATCGCAACAAAGGGTCCATTGTATGTCTCGGCTGGATCCACTCCATATTGGGCCAATAACTATGGTCGATTTCCTTATGTTTTTTAATATGATTATTGATATTTAATTTTTTTAATTAAGATTAAATAATATAAAATTGTATTATTAAAATTATTTTTATAATTCAATTTATTTTATTTATAATATTATAATTATAATACATTATCTTATTTGAACTCATCAAGCGACGTCAGTAGTAAAATATAATGTTATTCTCCTTAGAGATTACGGGTTTGAACAGTTAAGGTGTGTGCGTTGTCAAGATCAACAAATATTCTGAACGTATATACTTTATGATCACTCCACACTAAATCAATCGATGGAATTATATTTTTATAAAATTTTACAAGCCTCTCAAATAATATTATTTAATTATTTAAAAATATACAACATTAATTTACAAATATATATAGCAGAATTTTACAATGTCAGTATGATTCATAACACTAATTTAATCAATCGTGTCATTTATATAGTTGAGTATGTTTTCCTTACTCAGTAGATGGTTTTCATTTGATATCTTCACGGTCCCTGGAGTGAATCAGAAGCGTAAAACTTTCCCTTTTTCCTTTGTAATTGATGTTGTCAAGTTTCCAAGCTAAGGAAGTTAAAATAGATGGATGACCGAATTTGATGGTTTCGATTCAATTGGTTCAAATTGGATTTTTTAAAAGTTATATTTGGATTGGATCGAGTTCGGATTTGGGATTAAAAATATCCAATCTCACTCAATACAAAAATTATAATTTTATCATATATATTTAAGAATAATTATAATAATATTTCTTATATATTATTATTTTTAATTAAATTCTTATTTTTATTGAATATAAATAATATTTTTTAATAAATATATTATTTCAAGTAAGATTGATTATGTTCAAAATTCAACCTAACCCGACCTTATTCATGCCCATCCCTAGTCCAAACCCCCCTTTCTAAAACTTGCTACTCAAATTTCTATAATACATAACTGATTACTTAGAATAAGAAATAGAGTGACCCATATCGATTATGATTTGATGTGATAAATATCGAGTTGATTTTTGTATCGATTATATTTTGATTCTAATAAGAATGTGTAGCATTTTGCCACTTAAATAAAGGTAAATATAATTTTTAATACTGAACTTTGGTGGCAATGTACAATGTGGTACTTAATTTTTTAGTTGCAGTTAGGTACCTAACATTCTTTTAAATTACATGTACTTAATTCTAATTAGTTTAGTGAGAGAGGTAGTTTGTTTTATACATTTAAAAGTTGGGCCTTAAAATTACCACATATATATATACCAAATTGCATTATTGAACAAAAGCAAACCTACTTGTACCTTATTTTTACTAAAAACATAATTATAAATAATAAAAAAAGTTAAATAGCATATTGCACATAAATATGAATGTTCGGTACCAAAATAATATTAATCATTTAATTATCAATAAAAATAAGGTAAAGTATACAAATGGTCCTCCGACTATAGGATACTTATTTATTAAGTCCATTGACTATTAAAAGTTATAAAACGATCCTCTGACTATAGAGTATTGCTTTGTTGATTCCATCGACTATTAAAGTTACAAATTGTCATCTAACTATTAATTATGTTCCAAACTCGTCATTTTTCGTTAAAAAATTGACAGGATTCTGAGCTAAATGTTAACCTATTGGCTATAATATGATAAAACCTTATTATATAATCTCAAACGACTATCATATCTCATCCATCATGCTAACGTTCAACTTAGATAACCGCAATTTTTTAACGGAAAATGACGAGTTTGGAATATAATAACAATCGAGTGATCATTTTGTAACTTTTAATAGTCGAAAACTTAATAAAATAATACCTATGATTAGGGACTATTTATGTACTTTATCCTAAATATTAAAATTGAAAAGGTCCATACGGCCTAGAGTCGGGTTTTTTTTAAATTTGGGTTTTGGTCGGTCGGATTTGGTTTTAGGGAAAAATACATGACCGGAAAAATATAAAGTTACATTATATATTTAGGAATAATTATAGTAATACCTCTCTCTATATATTTTTCAATTAAATCATTATTTTTATTGAAAATAATATTTTTATTATTATTTCGGATCGGACCGGATTGAGTTCGGATTTTATCTCAAAAAGTCAGGTTCAATTTAGGTTGGTGGAGGTTATATATTTTTCGGGTCGGGTGGATGAATATGTAAAATTTTTGGATCGGGTCGGGTTGGATCGGCGAAACCCGACCATGCCCATCCCTAATACGGCCAAACTCCAACTTTTGTAATTTATGGAAGGTTCATGAATGAATATTAATAAAACGACAAATTGACAAATCTCCTACTTCACCACCAATCCCAACTGTCATCTTAATGTTTCTCCTTTAGAAAATGTGTAAAGTATACCAGAGCTCCTTGACTATCTTCAAATAAGTGTTTTGGTTATTAAATTTTTGGAAGTTATAAAATAATCATTAAATCGACAAATCTCTTATTTCGCCACCAATCGCAACTAACAATTGTTATCTTATTGTTTTTCCCTTTAGAAATGAGAAAAGTGCACTGGAGTTTACTCAACGATGCTTATGATTGTTTTGTCATTGAACTTTTAAAAATTATAAAATAATCATTAATTTTGTCAAATTATTACAATCTCATAGTGACAATTTTACAATAGTTTGATAAATTTAAAAATATTTTATAGCATTTAAAAGTTTAAAGATTATTAGCATAGTTCAGTGACCTATGATGCATTTTACCCTTAGGAAAGAAAATCCTTTTTAAGCTCTCAAATCTGTCTCCAATCTACTTTTCTTTTCCAAACCTTACCTTCGTTAATGGGCAGCAAATCCCTCAACCCCAGGAAACGTCGAAAACCGACACAGCACAACGACCAACGCCGCCAAGAACAGCCTCTAATACCAGGCCTGCCGGACCACGTGGCGGAGCTCTGCCTCACGCGCGTTCACCCTTCTTTGCTTTACTCCGTTTGCCGTTCATGGCGTCGCTTAATCTACTCCCCTTTGTTCCCTCCTTTCCCTTCTCTCTACACTCTCTTCTTCTCGTCATCGAATGAAGAAATCCAGCTCTTGAGCTTCGATCCCATTTCGTCCAAGTGGGAGTCAACTCCTCCGCCCATTAACCCTCTCAATTTCCTCGTTCACCACCCTTCTTTCATATCCCGAAACCTCCCCGTTCAATCCATTTCAGTCGCCGGCAATCTCGTTCTTTTGGCCGCAACCGCCCCCAATTTTGTTCCGGCCCTCTCCCGGCCGCTCGTATTCTCGCCGCTGTTTCGGACGTGGAGTTTGGGTCCCCCAATGGAGACGCCCCGCCGTTGGTGTGCGTCGGGGGCGTCGGGTCCGGCCGTTTACGTTGCCAGTGGGATTGGGTCTAACTTCTCCAGCGAAGTGGCGAAGTCTTTGGAGAAGTGGGACTTGGAGGAGGAGGGGGACAAAATTGATGATTTCAAATGGAAGAAGATGAAGCAGCTGAAAGACGGGAGATTCAGCAGAGACGCCATCGACGCCGTGGGTTGGCGTCGGAAGCTTTGTATAGTGAACGTGGCTAAACAAGGGAGTCTTTACGACGTCGATAATGACAGATGGGAAGAGATGCCGGCAGGGATGGTGGCCGGTTGGAAAGGACCCGTCGCCGACATGGACGAGGAAGTTCTATACGCCGTAGACGAAAGCAAAGGAGTACTCACAAGGTATAACCAAGAAAGCGATAATTGGGAGGTGATAATGGAGACGGAAAGTCTGAGAGGAGCACGCCAAATGACCGCCGCTAGCGGAAGATTATGCGTTATTTGCGGTGATGGGCAGATTATAGTAATCGATGTGTCATCGCCGTCACCAAAACTCTGGGCCGTGGAAAGCCCGCCTGAGTTGGACCCGTTGGCCGTCCACGTCTTGCCACGGCCGAGCCGCCCTGATTTTTAATTCGTAATTAATTCACCGTTGAAAGCTTCAACTCTTCAAGGAAGATTTTTTTCATGTGATGGAAAGTGAAAATTTGTCGATTATTGAATATAAGGAGTGGAATTCTGTATTAATTAATTTATTAAATATCAAAAGGCATACGGAAGCCATGGTAGCCATGAAAAATTCAAACATATTTGAGGTGCAGAGCAGAAAATGAAGGATAAATTGCAAAGTGGCTTACCCGATTCTTTTCCAAAAGGAATAAATGGGCATTAATGTATTTAACAAGATAGACTTCATCGCCTTCCCACCACCCCCGCTGCCCCTACGTAAAACCCCTTAGATAATGTCGAAAAAATTAGGTAAATTATACGTTTAGTATTTAAATTATTAGTTTTAGTATGTTTCAGTATCTAAACTTTTAATTTTTTCAAAACTATACCTAAAGTTTAGTTTTGCTTCATTTTAGTATAGTATTTGAAAATTTTAGTTTTCGTTTTATTTTAGTATCCTGTTCAAAATTTAACATTAAGTTTTTTCTTCAAAGTTTATGTATTAAAATGGGTCAACAATGATAGTTTAGGTATTAAATGCTTAAGTTTTTAACGATTGAGTACTAAAATGAAATGAAAACTAAACATTATGATAATTTTTAAAAAAAATAAAAGTTTAAGAACTAAAACGAACCAAAACTTGATAGTTTAAGTATTAAACGCATAGTTTACCCAATAAAATATTGATTCATTTTAGAGTGTGGCAGAAATTATTTTTTGATTTAAAATGTTTGCTATAATATAATCGGAAGATGTTTAAGAGAGTGAGAAAGACACAATATTTTCTTCAAATTATATAATTGGAATGTCAAGTCTAACAAAATTAAAAACATTTTTTCTAAAGCCATGAAACAATTTACACCTATTTTTATTGACATCATAACAATACTCTTATGTGATTAATTTATATTTTAATATACTCAAAATTAAACACATAAGATATAGGTAAATACAATTATTAAAAAAAAATATAAAAGTGAATAATATATATAAATAGAAGGGATGATAGATGAGATCATAGGACCCTACACGATTTAATTGCAATCTCTATCCAAAACAACTGTCTTGATCTGAATGCTTGATATTTTATTTTTATTTTGTTAATTTGAAAAACCTTTTATATTCAGAAATTAAAACGAAAAGCTAAGCATTAACTGCGTCTCTGTCCACCTTTTTCTCAGCATTGCTTACAATACCACTAGAGATGCATGCTTTGCCTTTTCAACATCCACCAAACCTTTAAATTTTTTTATTAATAATTTAATGTCACGCTTTTAAAATATTATAATTTTGTATTTACTTAATTTTTAAGAGAAAAAATTCATTCCATGGGCTTACTCAATACAACGCTAAGAAGTTTGTTTCACCAAATCTCGAGGACATGGTAAGCAGTGGAAGCATAGTGTACACGAATTAAATTTAATTTTTTTTATTTATTTTATTATTAGTATTCACTTTAAAATTTTATTTATATTTATCTTATATAAAAAATGTCAACATCTAATATATGTGTACCATACTCAAAAATATTTTTGAATCCGAACCGTGACGGATTGTAATCTTGGAATATAGTGAGCAACAAAAGAGAGAGAATGATAACGAAGGTACATGTTACGTATGTTTCAAATTTAAATGTTAAAAGATTTGAATTAAATGTCTTGTTTTTTTTTATTAAATTAAATGTATTGTTATTACATAAACTAGATCGAATTTTTAATGGTATATATATATATATATATATATATATATATATATATATAGCATTAATAAAAGACTTGACAAGACAGTAGGCCAATAAGGCTAGAAAATGAAACAAGATATTTTTTAAAATTAATAACAAGATCAGTTTTTAATATTTCACTAATTTCCCAATCCATCCTTAATTATTTTGTTACGTCAATCTTATTATTTCAAATTTTTTAAATAAATCATTTTTACTCTATTATTTCTCTAAAATTTTCAATTAAATGAGTTAAAAAAAATTCAATTAGATTCAAGCTTCTCTTATTATCGCCTCCATTCAAGCTTCAAATGGAAACTGATATTACACTAGTTAACTTTTAAAACTAGGCCTGCAAATGAACCGAATCGAACGCACACGAACAGATATATGTTCATGTTCGTTCATTTAATAAATAAACGAACATAAACGAACACGAACATAAACGAACAAAATTTTCTTTGTTCATATTCGTTCATTAAGAAATATAACTTGTTCATGTTCGTTTATTTAATAAATAAACGAACATAAACGAACACGAACGAACGAACATAAACGAACACAATAAACGAACATAAACGAACAACATAAACACACAAAAAAACTTATTCGAACACAACAAACGAATGTAAAAAAAAGTAAACAACAAGAATAACAATTTAAAATTCATTAATATAACCTGCAACTTTAGAGTTAATTTGTTCGAATACGACAAAAACATACATAAATCATAAATAAACTATATGAACATAATAAAGTCTTAAAGTTAATTTGTTCAACAAAACAATCTTCTTGAAATCCAAACAACTTCAATAATCTTCGTAACATATTCAACTTGTCCTATGTTCGAACATAAATGAACGAACATAAATGAACATAAATGAACGAACATATAATCGAACGTTCACGAACGTAAATGAACGAACGAACCATTTGTTCATGTTCGTTTATTTAATTAAATGAACGCAAAATCTTGTTCATGTTCGTTCATTTAATAAATAAACGCACATAAACGAACTTCCCGCCGCACGGTTCATGAACGGTTCGCTGAACGTTCTGTTCATTTACAGGCCTATTTAAAACATTACCTTTCCTTGTTTTACCACATGCTTACAATCCATTTGAAGAAATCATCGCTCTCATCAGTGCTATGAACAGAGATATCACATGCTTGTTTGGTTATCTCCTTCATTCTATATCAGAGGACAATTCAAATTTTATACCATGGATAATGGTACAATGATGATTATATTCATGGACCAAACCTGTGTCTATTATGCCTTGATTTGTCGGATTTAATAACACAAGAACGTGATAAGTTATTTCATGAATCAGACCTATGTCATCTATAGTCCCAGTGAATTATATCCATCAATTTTAAAATAACTTCAAAATAAATACTCATTCCTTATTTACACGTAGGAAAAAGGTAAAGATTCACCTTGAGAAAAATGAGACGGACAAATGTTATTAGCTTGGGACCACACGTGGAGAGCCAAGTCCATCTAACAATTTTTCCATGAACACAACATTCTATTCTATTCAAATAGGACAATACAACGAAGAGGAAAAGGAGCTAAATATATGGTCTGAGATCAACAGAATAACAGCAACTTTATTGTTGCTTCTACTTGCCATCTAATGATTCAGTTCAAATCTTACTAATAGGACCAACTGCCAAAGACATACAATTGCTGGAAATATCAATTTCACAAATGAAATTCAAGCACTCGTTTGAAACATCCTATGAGGATCATATATCAGGTACAGACAACCAAACATTGCATGTTTAAACTCAAGATTCTATTACAGAGAGAACATAAGATGATAAATCAGACAGAAGCAAAGTATCTCAAATTTAAGTCTACATACTTCTATTTCAAACCAAACACTTGCCACGAAACTGATAAACAAAGAAGTCGTAATTATTCCTACAAACGGGTAAAGTTTTACCAAGTTCAACGAAAAGGAGTTTTACCAAATTCAATGAAAAGGAAGGGGTTTCATGACGTCTTTAATCAAAGGCGCCAATTATTTGAATCGTCGACTTCAGTGAAAGCTGCCAACATGGATATAATATCATCTTCCTCATAGACTTTAGGAGCCTCAACAAATGAATTGGTAAAATTACCAGTCATTTGATCATCATCTTCAGTGAAGGCCTCTAGCATAAATATAACGTTGTTATCGTTGAGTTCTTGATCTTGAGGAACTAGAGCAAGTTGAGGAGCCTCCAACGGTGCAGGAACGGAGTCAGTGACGACAACCGTGGGAGCTTCAGGAGTATCCACGCATGTAGGGGAAGTATAAGCATCAGCATCAATGACAGGGGTACAATTAACATAGTCATTAGTATGACCAACCAATGGCAGTGTGTAAACCCCACTTGAATCAACAGTTGGTGCAACACATAGGCTCTCAGGGCCGCTTGAGCCACTAGCAACAGCTACTATGGACGTACTGCAAAGGGAACCAATGCCAGGAAAATTTGCCTCATCATCATCATCGTCATCCCAGTCCTCTTCCTTAAATGGTGCTCCATATTGAGCACCATTTCTTGGGCCCATACCATCTTTCTTGAAGAGAACATAAAGCATGTATGAATCTTGAACAATCCCTCTGTCAGCCAGTTTTTTGTCTACAAGTCTGTACTCGTGCATCACCCAATCCATTCGCTCACCGTACGGGGCTTTACCTTGATGAAAAACCAAGGTTTTTATCATCCCAACAACTTCGCTATTGTACTTCACAAACCTATCCTTTCCCGTGGCTTTCCAGTAGCCATATACAGTAACTCTACTCACCCTATCCCCTCTATTATATTTCTTTGCGATAGGGCAACAGAAATGCCATTTAAGGTCACCGGTCTTTAAACACGACATATCAGGCAAATCCCATGGTGCATACTTGTAAATATCAACTTCAGCAATAGGATTGACAGAAAGCTTCTTGCCCAATATTTTCCGCTTCAGATAATACATAATCAGTTCCACATCGGTGGGGTGAAATCGAAACCCCGGCGCCAATGTGTTTTTACCCATAAAAAAAATTCAAAAATACTCAATAGAAAGTGAATTAAAAAGACTGCGACTCCACTCTGAACAAAATCAGCAGAGCCAAATTAAAGAATCCAAACGAGAAAAGGGGTCAAATAAAACCTGACGCGTAGAATCTAGGCCAGGTCCAATGCCTAAAAGAAATCTTTTGAGAAAAATACCTCAGTCTCCCACGGTTCATAAATCGAAAATCAGAACAAAGAATCGGCTGTTCCCAACTGAGCTCAAAAGACATTTGCTGTAAAATATGAACAATGCTTTCAATATCAAGATCCCCATATCAATTAAGAAAGCAAAAGAAGCAACAGATCAGAGAAAAGACCTTTAATCGATGATTACTTGAAGCAAACAATAAATTAAAAGTCGAAACTTAGAAGAGAAACCCTAGAATTTTACCCGTAGGGGAGGAAGCCGCGAGAGAGCACCGAGGGAGACCGCGTCAACGAGCTGAGAGAGAAGCGATAAGTAAAGAGTACGCTAATGCTCGCCCTTGCGCTACGTATTTATGTAGTTATAAGGCTTAATTGCCAAATAAGTGCCCAAACTATCCTTTTGTGCTAAATAAGTGCCTACGGTTTTTTTGTCCATCCGGGAGCCTAACATTACAAACGTTATCCTTTTAGGTGCCCAAGTCATCAATGCTGTTAGTTTTTCCCGTTAAGTGACATGTGTTAATACATAAATTTTAAAATAACCCTTAAAATTTGACAACTTTTATTTCAACCCCTAAACCCATGTCGATCGCCTCCCTTTACCGTCGAAGAAGCTCCACTCGGCCTCCCCTTCCCCCGACGACCATAACCCCTATGAAATCGTGACAGGTTGATGAACAATCGACCACAAATCGACATTTTAAATCTCACAAACCTTAGGATGAAAATCGTGATCCCACGCGATTTCGACGGTGAATCGGTGACAACTACGACGACATATAACTAGGATGATGTCAAGTACTACGTCAGCGATGGTGGTGGTGGCCAGAGAAGGCTTCTGTGGCGGATTAAGGTTATGATTTAGTATTTTGGGGTTGTTTTATAATATAAGAAAACTTAGGTTTTTTTATAAACATAATATGTAACATCCTCAATATCGGGTTGATGACTAAATTATAAAAATTCAGAATTTGGTGATTAAAGTAGAATAATTGAATAGTTCGATGACTTATTTGAAAATATTTTCTGAAAGGTTGTTAGTAATTATTAAAAGAACTAAAAGGCAAAATGGTCATTTGACATGAAAGATTTTTATTTCCCTTATAAGATAAGGGGAACACGTGGAATCCATTTTGAGGAAATAAGTTTCCACACAATTCTTTCATCTTCTTCTTCTTGCTTTCTTCTTCTCCACCGTGAACCCAAGGGAACAAAGGTAAGTTTTCTGATTACTTGATTGTTTGTTGATTTTAAGTATGGGTTTTGATCCTTAGGTGATACTTAAGCTTAAGGAAAACTTAAGTTGTCTTAAAATCAAAAGATGAAGAAGTTATGAAAGATTAAAGAGAATGAGTTTTTAAGTGAATTTATGGAAAAGAGTTGATAAATTGAATTTGAAACTAAATTTGACTTGTCATCAACTTAATTAAGAGATATGAAGTGATAGAATTGGATTTAGAGCATCTTGAAAATTTGGTATGATTCTTGATTTTCATATGAAAGATGGAATTTTGAGGTTAAGGATGTATTGAATGAGTAGAAATTAGTTTAAGTATATGTACTTGAGTTAAAAATAGAAAAGGAAATGAAACATGAAGAATTTAAGCTGAAAATGATGAATTTTCGGGCTTAAAATACAATTTATAGGCAATGTGCATCGGTACACATTCAATATGTACTGATACTGTAACATCCCGAAATTCAGGGTCAGTGACTAAATTACAAATTTTGAAAACTATGTGCTTGATTTCAAAATAAGTTAAAAGTTCATGGATTTAATAGTAAAACTGGAAAGTAACAAGGGTATTATGGTCTTTTCTAAGAGAAGATTTTATTTTCTCTTTTTAAGGAAACCACGTGGGAAAGGAGAGAATTATCCAGAGTCTTCTTCTCCAGCTTCTTCTTCTCCCCGTAAGCCTCATTTAAAGGTGAGTTTAATTTCAGCTGTTTAATTCTTGGATTTATAAGTTGAGTTTGATTCTTGGAGTATTATATAAGCTTAAGGAAAGCTTATATAAGCTTTAAACATCAATAATAGAGAATTAGAAAGGAAATGATATGAAGGGTGTAGAAATGAAATTTTGTTATAGAAAGGTTTTTGAAGTTCTAAAGATGGATTTGACTTGTCAAGGGTAAAATTAAGAAGCTAGAAGCAATAGAATTGAATTTGAAACATGTTGAAAATTTAGTGTAATTCTTGAATTACATATGGAGAATAGGATTTTGATGTTAAAGAGGTGATTAATGAATAGGAATGAGTTTGAATATGAGTATGTAAGTTAAAAAAAAAGAAAGGGGATGATATATGAAGTATTAAGCTGAAAAGAGTGGATTTTCGGGCATAAAAGAGGATTCTGGGCAGAGTGCATCGATGCACATTCATAGTGCATCGATGCATCAAGGTTAAAACCCAGAAATTGTTTGAAGGTGTATCGATGCACAGGTAGTGCATTGATGCACTCTTTTAAAATAAAAACATCGAATGCAATTAGTGCATCGATGCATAAGGCATGCATCGATGCATCCCAGTAATAATACAACATCGAATGCATTTTATGCACCGATGCATCAGTAGTGCATCGATGCATACCTTCATTAAAAGATGAAATTGGCTTTTCTCTGAGCCTAAGGAGTGATAGTTTCGAATATATTAATCAGTATACTGATAAGTATTAATGTATTATTATGTAGATATAGAATGAAAGCTTGTTCCGGAACAAACTAAGGATTAGGATTGATTCAAAACAACGAGGCCCATGTGAGTGCATCTTATTGTATAAGATTATATGGAAATTGGACTTGTGATAAGTCTATTCTTATAGTAATAGCTCATTAAGTCTTGATTATAAGTATGTTAACGATATGAAGTGTATGTATGTTTGATTATATGAATTGATATGTTTTATTTTGTATGTGCTATGTGATTTATGTAAAAATACGGTTAAGTGTTAATGAGAGAATATAAAATAAGTTATGAAATTGTATGAATATAGAAGATAAGTCAAGAGATGTAGGGAAATGAAAATAGATGTTTATAAAGAGTCATAGGAGAACAAATATAAGTAATATGATAATGAAATATAAGGCTATGTGAATACATGTTTATGAGATAAAATATGTAAGAATAGGAAAAGATGATGAGAGCGAGTTCATGAGAAGTGATATGAACTAGGTAAACATGAGTTGGACAAGTACATAGTGGTATGATCCATTATGGGAATTAGTGTAATAGAGCTTTTTGATTTAAAGAGAGTTAAGGGAACTAAATAAGATTGAATTATAGAATGAAATGGGAATAGTATATCAATTAGGAAACTTGAATATAAAGGGACGATACGAATATGCAAGATAAGTTATATGCTAAATATCTATGGAGCTATATGAAAAGATTATAATGAAATTATGAAATTGAATTAAGTAAATAGATTAAATTATTACCTAAATAAAAATACTATTAAATGATATATATTTAGAAATACGATATAAGCTATGTGAAAGTGTTCTAGGTGTTTCTATATGTTATATGAAGTATATGATCATATATGAACAAGATATGATAAGTATGTTTACATGAATAAATGTGATTGGGTGAGAAATGATAGAAATTATATGAAAACATGTATATGTGAATTAGCTTTGTAATTAGGTAAATATATGAAATCATAACTATGAATTATATGATGTGAAAGTAATCTATGTGATTATATGTTATATGAATACAAGAACATGATATATGTGATATGTGAATTATATGGAAATGATCTACGTGTAAGTGAACTATGCGACTATGTGATAATATGAAAAGAAGCTATGTGATATGTGATATGTGAAAGTGAATTACATGTTTATGTGAATATTTGAAATGAAATAAATGATAATGCCCATGTTATGTGTCATGAGAGCTAGGGGTATAGTTGGCATGCCAAGAGTCGAGGGTCTACGCGGTCCTTCGGGACATATGTGTATTCTTTGGAACATTTATGAGGTCTTTGAGGCACATACTTGGTCCTTAGTATATGTATATGATTCTTAAGGAATGATATGTGGTCCTTATGGACATTATTATATGGCACTACGGTGCAATTCTACGCGGTCCTTCGGGATATATATATATTCTGTGGAGCATGTGTGAAGTCTTGTAAGACACATACTTGATCCCTAGTATATGTATATGATTCTTAAGGAATGATATGTGGTCCTTATGGACATTATTATAGGGCACTACGGTGCAATTCTACGTGGCACTTCGGTGCAATTATACGAGCTGTGGTGACAGCATTAGTGCACAACCTTTATAGACTCACATATTTATAGTTCTCACAAGTGTACCATGGGCTAATCAAAGAGATAACATAAATACAATATATATAATGTATATGCTTTTGGTGAAATGATATACAAAAATGATAAGTACAAGATCATGTGATAAATAATTTGATGATAATGATAGAGATAATGATAATAATATATATGATAATGCTAAGAAAATAGATGATGATATATGTACATGAGTGTATTTGTTATATAAAAAGGTGTGTGATTTTGTATGAAATTGTTATATGATTTTGTATGATAAGTTAGTATTAAATGTTCATGTGTTTTGTTATATGGAATGTTTTATGATTTCTATTATATGTTTTACTTGCCTCACTAAGTCATCGACTTAGCGTGTGATTGTTTCACACGTAGGTTCGAGAAGAATATAGAGAGCAATGTGGAGCAAGACAGGTCAGTTACTTCTTACCGAAGATCAGATCAGAAAAGATGTTTTGAATTAGATGTATTTTGTACATTGAAAATGGTTGGCATGTAAATAAATGTCTGAATTGTATATGCACTGAACGGTTTTGCAAAAACATTTAAGCTCTGAATAGTTCTGGAAATCTTTTGAATAAGCTACATGTATAAAAGTTTTAAATTACTCACTATTTTATACAAGTAAATGTTTTGAAAAAGTCAATGTGACACATCGGACTCGAATCCAGGTCGGGTACGGGTTGGGGGTGTTATAGATACACTCTTAAATAAAGAAACATCGAATGCAATAAGTGTATCGATACACATGTAGTGTACCGATACACCAGTGAATGGATGTATCGATACACTATAGTGTGTATCGATACACTTCAAAGGGAAAATGGAAATTGATCTTTTACTTTAGTTTAGAAAAGGGAAGATTAGAGTATATCAATTAAAATATTTGTCACACCCCAATATGGGGTTAGATTTCTTTTAGTTTAAAATATGGGAAATGATATAAAGTTTGATTGGCAAATAATTGTGTTATGATACTATTAGATTATTAAACAAATTGAGGGTCACTAAATAAGAGATATTTTTTTTAAGGATAATGGTATTGTAGACGATGTTGGAATCCATTGCTTTCCAGCTTAGAAGAAATATTATATTATTTCCTGCTTGTTGATTACAGCTGGATTTATTGACAAAAGAAAATTAAAACAATGGAAATGATGTGGTTTGTGTGATAAAGAAGACTGCAACGTTAATTGGTGCGTTATCTACTTTGCATGCCTCTCAAATTCATATTGAGTTGCCTACACTCTCTGACAAAGACAATGAGCACTATGGGATCTGCCTGCAATTTTGGTCTGCGAGAATAATCACTATGGTACGGGGACAGCCGAGTGGAGAGCCGCGAAGAGTCCAGCGTATTCCAAACGTGGGGATTTTGTTCCTGGTTTGAAGGTGAATGGTATGGATGCCCTCGCTGTGAAGCAAGCTTGCTAAAGAACAAGCAGCTTCTCGAAATAAACGGTCGTCCGGCGCCGCACACCTTGTGGGTCAATCTTTCTAAACAAAGGGAAATAGCCAGCCAAATTAGGTACCCCGCATCGTGATTCATATCCGAAACTATTTTCTTGAATTCTTGAGCATGAGATGAATTCGGATCAACCAAATCTATTTAAAAAAAATGGTGTTGGACAACAAGTTAATCAAAGCATCAAAAGCAGCTTGGCCTACGTTAATGGCTTCACCTTTAAGGCAACTTCTGTGAACAGTGTCGATCAGTTCATGAATCTTCTCCCGACGCAGGTGCTAGTTGGTATCGAGTTTAAGATTAGAGAAAATATGGATAACACAGACTTTGCGAAGAGTTCTTCAAAGCGACGAAACGGGTATAAACGACAACCTGAAATCCATAAATTGGTAGGCTCGGAGAGCATCGGGACCGGTTCGGTTACAGAACACGAGGTTCTGTTTTTGCAGTTCTTTTGTCGTTGTTTCCGATGAGACGACTACGATGAATAAGCTGCCGAGTTGGAGACTCATAACGGAGCTATGAATTTGAGCAAGCTTAGCCAATGACCTGTGGGGGTTATTCCCGAGATCCAAGAGATTGTCGACGATTGGCAGCCGCCGTGGATCGGGTGGGAGCTTGCTTTCACTTGATTTACTTCCATTTCTAGATGAGTTCAAAGCTCGAACTAGGAACAAGACAATAAACAAAAACATAGCAAGGAACTGATGCAAGTTTGGCTAAAAGGGTTTTGTGTGAACACGTTCATGAATCTCTTGGAGTGCTCAATGAGGATTTACTATTTGCCTTGATAAATAAGATTGAAATGTGGGGAAAAAGGGGTTATGATTCCAGGAAAATCACGTGGGTGGTGGCTTAAAAAAATAAAGTGGAAAATCGCATCATGAGTCCTCAAGTTTTGGTAAGAACTTGGCCTTGTCTCATAGTTTACTTTAGTTTTAGTTTATGGCCCAATAGTGTAAATTAATTCGGTTCAGTCCCTAATTTTAGTGATTAATTATTAAAGTAGCCCCACAAGTATTCTATTATACTAATTGGGTTTCCAAATTATTATTTCAAGCTATCTTATGGCAATAGAAATTATTTGGATACGAGTTAGAAATTTTGATGGCCTGGATCGTGAGGAAAATATTGGAAGTTGAATTAAATATCAAGGGTGTTCGAATGAAATTTAAATGGTCGGCCAATATGGCACGAAAAATGAGGTAATACTTTACTACATCTTTATGCTTTATGGAACATGTTGATATTGGTAAATGCATGAATAAGTTAATGATTGGTCTCATTTGTGTAGTTAATTAATTTCTACACTCGATCCGAATACGGTAAAAATTTGGTAACTGAATATGGTTCAGATGACTTGTATAAGAAATTGAAGGATTGTTAGAATTAAATTACAAGTTCGGTGATTAGTGATAAGGAATCAGCCCTGGATGTAACTTATATTTATATCATCAAAGGTTAAACGTTAAAGGTACTTGGATGAGAAATTATGAGAATACTATGGTTTGGTGAAATTATAAAATTACCCTTATGTTGGAAAATGACAAGAATTATCCCCGGAAGTTGATTAATAACTCTGAAAATACATATTGATCTGATAAAACTACAGATGTGCATAAGAGATGCTAGTTTTGATTATAAAATGTTCGAGAAAGCAATTAATCATAGGATCTCAAAATTAAAATTATTTTCGTTAAGAGACAATACCGAAATTACCTGGTTACGAAATTACAATAATGCCTCCAGTGGTAAAAATAGTCTAAATTGACGTTGAATGAGAAAGTAACTTGAGAAATTGTATTTAAACCGATAAATTACATATTTAATTGTTGAGATCCTACTTTTGTATGGAAAATTCCTGATAATTCGTCAGTAATATCTAAAATGACTTTTAACCTGGAAATCTCCAAGTTATGAGTAAATACCTGAAGAATAAATTTATCGAGGGTGCTCTTCTGTCAGAATTGTTCGAAAGGAATGTAATAGATGTTAAGTCTGAATTAAATAATAAGATCGGACGAAAGGAACTGGTTAAAATACGTTGAATCTATAAAATGACCAAAATACCCCTGTAATGGAAATGACTCATGAATATCACCAAGCCCAGTAATAAATGGATTTCCTCAAGCTTTGAAATAAATGGAAAAACATTGAGCACCAAAATGACCAAAGTGCTCTTATGGTCAAGATTAAATAAACGTCTTGGGTTAATTAAGGAATTCAGATAAACATAAGTGTTGTGCTACCCTTAAAAGTAATGGAAAATAATTTAAGTGAGTAGATCAACCCTAATGCTATGTCAGTACCTGAATGACATAGATATCATTAGAATGTGTGTTCGTCTTCTCAAGCTTGGATCGATGATAATTTTGGAAGTACTTGGCTCAGCTCAACTCTAGAGCGCATTCGGTACTAAGAAGTGGATATTCGTGAGGCAAATCAACAACGAATATCAGAATGACTCTATTATATGACTAAATTGAACTGAAAGGAAATACAATATGTATATGAAATTTAGAAATGTCTGAATTAATCTGGAAAACTCTGAAGTAATCGGGATAGACTTGATTACTAGATGAACTAAGTTACCTCAATGACTGAGGATTAAATAAGTGATTGGATGAGTCTGGAATCACTGTTGAACTTACATGATGAATTGTCCTTATGGGTCATGAACCATGAATCAAGTATGTTCGTATTTCCTGATATCGTTGAAGCGTGGAAATGAAATAAACACTATTGGAAGATCTATTCAGAGATGATTACGAAGATAATTTATGGACAAGAATTGTTAGTATTAAAGAGTAAATATTTTGGAAAGCAGTAAATTGACGGGTCAACATGCATTAGTTCTGAGAGTTGTTCACTTCGAATTGTTCGATAAGTCGATCGATCAGAATGGATTGTAAATGTCTTGAATCTTCGTTTCTACAATTTCATATTAAATTATTTCGGTCATGTCTGAACACGCATGTAACACAGAAGGAAATATTATGAATACCCTATTTGGTTCAATTGAGCTGAGATCCTATGAATTTAAGTATATTCCTAAATACCCTTGATTGTTTGGGTAATGGAATCACTCGCAGTAAATCTGAATCTAGAACTATTATGTATAAAGGTTCCTAAACATTTTCCTGATGCACATGGAAACATAGTGGAATTTTAAAATTGTTCACTATTTTGTAAGTAAATGTTTGAAATGTCAATGTGACACATCATATTCGTATCCGGGTCGGGTACAAGTTGGGGGTGTTACATAATAATATTTTAATATTTTTTATAAAAAATAAATTTCAAATTTACCAGGTGTTGACACGTGACACTTAACGGGGAAAACTAGGAGCGTTGATGATCTTGGCACCTAAAAGGACAACGTTTGTAATTTTAGACATCCGAATGGATAAAAAAATCGTTGACACTTATTTGCCAAAAAAATGCATAGTTTGAGCACTTATTTGGACATTAAACCTATTTATAAATGCAATTATATTTACGAGTAAATTAAATTATTAATCACCACACTTACATTTTATTTTTCGGTAAACTACACATTCAATACATAAATTATTACTTTTATTCTATTTTAGTACACAAACTTTATTTTGTTGGAACATCTACTTTCAGTGAACACATTGTTGTGCATGTTGGTTGTTGCTAAGATCAATCCGGGTGCACCTCTTGACTAGGGTGGTAAACGAATTGAGTTCGAGTATTGTTGAGTTCGACTCAATTTGAAAACTTTATAATAGAGTTCGACTCAGCTAGAAAACTCGTGAGCCTAAAATTTTTAAATTTGACTCGAACTCGAAACCATGAATTAAAGCTCAAAAAGAAAAAAAAAACTTAAACTTAACTCGATTGAAGCTCAAACTCGAACCTGAACCTTAAATACATAAAAACTATATATTGCATTTTTAAAAAAAGCTAACACATAAATGTTAATATTATTAATAACTTATTTTAAAAAAATCTTAATATATTATATTTTCGAGTTGCTCGTGAGTTTTCGAGTCGAGTATCAATTTATTCGTTTCAACTCGTTATGAACTCGAGTCAAATCCATTCAAATCAAATATTTATCAAACTTTAATCGACTTGATCTCAAGTAAGTCGATTCATTTATAGCCCTAATCTCGCAAAGTTCGTGTTCTCAGCTGTGGAATCTCTACAGGTGTTAAAAGAAAAGCATTATTTTACAATTGGTTGGTTTGATTCAGCATTTTCATTTCTCACTTTAATTTGTTAGTTGAATGGAGATTTAATGATTTTCCAGGTCTTGGTGCCACCTTGAATGTTGCAGAGCCCACCAAGTGTTCAACCGTGGCCATTTATGGACTGGGGCCTTCTATGCCCATTCACATGAAACCAGCCATTGGAACATCCATTTCGCATTAGATGTGTATGCATGAGCTTGAGGTGGAGAAACTATCAATTACCCAGATTAGTTCAACTAGGATATTATTAGATAGAGTTGAGTTGGTTCGAATTATTTGAATTTATAGTTAAGTTTAATTATAAATATTTATAATATTATGATAATGATTGATTTTAGTTTAAATATTTTTTTATATAAAATTGAGGAATATAATTTGAATTTTAAAATTAATTTATTAATTATTAATTTTTTTAAATTACATAGATTCTATTTTACAATTTAAATTTTATTTTTTATATTTAAATATAAAATCGATACAAAAACAAGATAAATTAAAAGAATTTTTTTTTTGAATTAAAGTCAAATTTTATTCATCTTTAAATTTAGGGTACACAAATTATATGTTTTGGTCTGTTTTAATACCTAAACTTTTTATTTTTTTAAAGTCATACCTAACATTTGACTTTTGATTCATTTTAGTACATCGTCATTAAAAATTAACGGACAGGCTGAAGGTTCGTAGCTCTGATGGACGGACGACCAATCCAAACAATGAACCATGAGAGAATGACGAGTCGACCAACATAGTCTAGTTTCAGGTCCATCAGACGATTGGCGATAGAGATCAGAGGATGAAAAAAGTGTTCATCACCTATTTGGGGAGATTAAGATATTTTTCGATGAAACGGTTATTATAATCACGTTTAAGGATAGAAAATGTACAAGTTAAAAAGGTTGAGCTTCATCAGTTGACAAATGAGACGAGCAAAGACTGTGGATGCGACAGTCAATGAGTCCATCCGTTAAGTTTTTAACTATTGATACTAAAATAAAACAAAAACTAAACCTTATATATAGTTTTTAAAAAAATTAAAATATTAAAACGCACTTGATCATTTACCTTAAATTTATAATTTACGGACCCAATTATACTCGAATCCGATAACCCAGTTAAAAGAATCGGATATAAAACCCTCCCCTACCCGCCATGCTATCTTCCACTGCCCACAGATTTGCTTTACCCTTCACCGCATCTTCTTCACTCCGGTCGTTTTGGATTTATGTGCCCAATAAACCTAAGGATCTGAGCTCGTGACTGACAGTAAATGGCCACGCCTTCCCTTTCCACTTCTTCGACATCACTTCCATTGGCAAAATTCCAAAATCATGCATCCTCGTGACTGTGCATTTCCACCCTCCTCGTGATTTCACTTTTCAATCCAACCAAAACAAAATTCCATACCCTTCCCACTTTATATATACCCTTAACGCCATGACTTCGTCTTCACCACCTCCCTCACGCCATTCCCATAAAAAACCTTGCAGAAAACCTCCCTGGACAACCCCTTCTTCCCTTGTTTCTCTATCAATGTCTGCTTTTCTTTTCCTTTCCCTTCTTTTGCTCACCCTTTTCTTCTATTCTTCTTCTTCTGCTCGTCACTACCATCGAAACCCACCTTCGTTTCCTCGTAAGTCCCCTGTTTACGCCTCTGATTCCTCCCAAATCCGCCTTGCATGCAAATCCACTCGTTTTCCACAGCCCTGTGAGGCTTCCCTTTCACAACCCTCCCTTCTGCCTCCTAATCCGACCTCCCTCGATTTCGTCCGGTCGGCCCTTTCCGTCTCTTCCGGTAACCTCAAAACCGGACAATCCATGGTGAAATCCATTCTCGATTCCTCTAGAGGCAACCTCAACCGCTCCGATGCCGCCACCATCTGTGTGAACATCCTTTCTAACTCGGATTACCGCGTTAGATCAGTCAATGACGCGCTGACACGTGGAAAGATCAAAGACGCCCGTGCTTGGATGAGCGCCGCCCTCTGCTACCAGTACGATTGTTGGAGCGCGCTCAAGTACGTTAACGACACCAAACTGGTCGACGAAACGATGGCGTTCTTGGACTCTTTGATGCGACACAGCAGCAACGCGTTGAGCATGATGGTCGCTTACGATAATTACGGGGAGGACATAGCCGCGTGGGTCCCTCCCAAGACGGAACGGGACGGTTTTTACGAGAACGGGTCCGGTGGGAAGGAGCTGGGGTTTAACGGTGGGTTACCCTCGAACTTGAAGGCGGATGTTACGGTGTGTAAAGATGGGAGCGGAGGGTGTTACAAGACGGTGCAAGAGGCTGTGAACGCCGCACCGGACAATGGAGAGGATACACGCCGTTTCGTGATATATATAAAGGAAGGAGTGTACGAAGAAACGGTGAGGGTGCCGCTGGAGAAGAAAAATGTGGTGTTTTTGGGTGACGGAATGGGTAAAACCATTATTACCGGCGTTTTAAATGCTGGGATGCCTGGAATTACCACTTATGATACTGCTACTGTCGGTGAGTAATTCTACCCTCTTTTTGTCAAACATTTAAATTTGTTTATGAATTCCCAGTTGTACGTATATGAACGAGTATTCACGAATCTAATTGAGTTTGAAGCTTAATCCAGTGAGTCCAAGTAGCTTGATTTTTGAGTTCTGAGCTTTAAAGTTCGAGCTTTTTACTATTGTAGGCTTGTAGTTTAACTCGAATCAATATTAACTATAACGTTGAGTTCTAAGCTTTCTTCATTAAGAACCCCTATCGAATAAATTCAGCTTGTTTTGATTATTTCTCGAAATGAAAAAGAATGTTTTGATGTATATAAAAGCAGCAACTGGTGTAGAATTGCATAGGCATTCAATTTCATTTGCTTTATAAAGCTTTGATGAGATTGTGCATCTAGACATTCATGGTTTCCCTGAGCTTATTGCACATGTATGTTGAGCAATGGAAATCAATGAGCTGAAGAGTTTTTATTTTAATAATTGGATTTCGCTGTTGCAGGAGTTCTTGGTGATGGATTTATGGCGAGTGGCATCACATTCAGGAACACAGCAGGCCCTGATGCCCACCAAGCAGTAGCCTTCAGATCAGATAGTGATCTTTCTGTCATTGAGAACTGTGAATTCCTAGGCAACCAAGATACTCTCTATGTTCATTCGCTCCGCCAGTTCTACAAGAAGTGCCGTATTCAGGGGAATGTGGACTTCATCTTCGGTAATTCTGCCTCGGTTTTCCAAGATTGTGAGATTTTGGTGGCTCCACGGCAGTTGAAACCCGAAAAAGGCGAGAACAATGCTGTCACAGCTCATGGTAGAACAGATCCTGCTCAATCAACTGGATTGGTTTTCCAGCACTGCTTGATCAATGGAACCGAGGAATACATGAGATACTATTATAGCAAGCCTAAAGTGCACAAGAACTTTCTGGGAAGGCCATGGAAGGAATTTTCAAGGACAGTTTTTATAAATTGTGTTATGGAAGCGCTTATTAATCCGAATGGATGGATGCCATGGAAGGGTGACTTTGCATTGAAAACACTTTTCTATGGAGAGTTTGGGAATACTGGTCCGGGATCCATTCCGTCGAACAGAGTTCCTTGGAGTACTCAAATTCCATCTCAACATGTACACTCGTATTCGGTCCAAAATTTCATTCAAGGAGATCAATGGATTCCGACATCATCTTGATTGTTTCCCCCCATATCAAGAAATTCCAAGATTGTAAGTAAAGCCCAAGGAAAGTTGTCAAGTCATGATCATGTTCATCTGTTGCAAAATCTTCATTGGAAGATGAAGGGCTAGTGTTTTAGCATATGTTATTTTCCCTTTCATCTTCCTATAATATTTGGATATGCAAAACAAAATGATTTTCCAAATATATGGAAAAATCAAGTATTTATCTTGCTCAATATCTATATCCAGTACTCACTCACCTTCGAACCCAAGTAACATTGGCTTTAGCTGTGCTAGTATTCCTATTAGGCAAGACAAGATGTCAAAATCCTTGAATGGGGGAGTATGACTGATACTTTCATATTGGGATTGGCCTGTGGCCAACTGGTTTTCTTGACTTATAGTGCAAAGGTGTTTTGTTGACACGAAAAGCAAACCAAGTTGCAAATTTGGTGATTCCTTGTGGCATGATTGTATGGGGTTGGTCATTGCTTTACGCCTCTATCTCGCTTCTTGGCTAACCTTTCAAGTACTCAAGTGTTCCTCATTAAGTATCAAGTGAAAGACGGTCCAGCCATCAACTTATGAGGTCTGCATGGACATAACATTAACATGGCTATTCAGCTGATGAATTAGATAGAGAAAAATGCTGATGATAATAAGATTATATATGCATGATCATGATTCTCAAGTTCACATGAAGTACATGACACCATGGATCCAAAGGCCAAACAACATGAAACATCAACGGCCCTATCTGTCTTTCTTTTATATATATATCTGAAGTAAATAAAGATTGTATATGTTTAAATACTCTTAACCATTTGATAATAAACGTTCATATTCTTGACATTTACGGTGCTCAAACCAGAGACCTTAAGAGATAATAACGAGTCCCTTAATCACTGAGGTTGTATGATTTGTGCAACTACCCTATATGTCACATGATAGAAAAGAGTCAGTTTCCTTTCTTATTGTTCTTGATTAGGGATGATAAATGGGTAAAATTTTCGTATCCATCACCTACCCATTACCCACGGTAGTAAAATTTTTAAATTTACACTCGTCTACTCGAGTATATTCTCAAATCCACCCCCACTATCCAACTATATACTTACACTTATCTTGTACCCCTCTGTATTCACCCAAACCCACCAATTTGAGATAGTCGACCCTCTGCACTCATCCATACCTGTCAATTTGAGATAGGAGAAATGGCGGTCTTTAATTCCAAAAAAAACATGCCTTAACATTTGGTTAAATTACAAGTCATTTCATATAAAATCTTAAGATCTACATGATAATCTCTAAAACTATATCTATATTCATAATAGTCCAAAATTTATATGATAAATAACTAGTGTATGGGTGGATACGAAACGAGTAAGGTCTCAAACTCATCACCTAGCCACTAACTACGCCAAATATGTCATTTTACATCTACATCCACTTATTACCCATTAAATTTATACTCATCTACACAACAATTAAAACATAATGCGAAATCCACAAAATTGTATTGGTATAACATCTCTATTCTTGATGATTATGGTCTCCATGTGCTCAACAACCCTATGCTAAAGCATTAGCCCCTTGGACATAAATAAGGCGTTTGTGCGTTGCGTTCTGGTGGGGCGGTTTATTTAATTATAAAGCCTTCAGTGTTGAATTTAAAAATCAAGGATGAGAGTCTGATAGGTACTCAATAAACACTTAAATTGAAAAAATAAGTAGGTTGGAGTTTAACTTGTCTAATTTCAAATTAGTAAGGGTTTAAAATGTAATTTGACCAAAATAATGTGTAGTCAAAGATATTTTTTTAATAATCTACGATAATTATAAGGTAGAATCTGTTAATAATGCATACACATCATGCAAACTTATTTACTTAGTTTGAGGCTCGAAAGTAACTGAATCTATAAATTTAGAATGATATTATAATTTGAGGGTTGATGTAAAATATTTTAAAATTTATGAATAAATTTAAAATGGATATAAGTTAAAGACTTCTTATGTAATTAACTCAACTAAGAGGGATCTGGAAAACAATTAGACCTAAAATATTAGGGGCATGACCCTTGACAGTCTGCCACCATACATATGATTTTATCCCTGATGGGTGGTCTTAAAGGAATGGTCATTAAAGAGTTTAGGGATCCAACTAATTAGGGGTGGTGTTAAAGGAACGGTCATTAAGGAGTTTAGGGATGGGCATGGGCGGGTACCGCTCCGAGTACCCGCCCGATCTTGACCAAAAAAATATATATCTAAAACTTGATTTTATCTGTTCCGATTGATTTTAGGTTATTTTCTGTTTCAATTCCATCTTAATTTTAGATTAAATTCTGATCTCGAACTGATTCGATTCAAATATATTAATATTTTAAAATAATAAAAAATATATTTTATAATAGTATATTTATAATTATTTATTATATTTTAATATGTTAAATTAATATACAGTCAATTTTTTATATTTTAATAATATAAAATAAAAGTTCTTAAAATATTAAGTATAGTTTATATAAAAAAATTAGTAGGACCGGTTCAATGATTTTTCACCTTAAATATGATCTCGCCTGATCCGAAATTATATATTTTATAATCTGTTCTATCCCATTCCGAGCTTCGAAATTTCAAAAAAAGAAATTGTCGCTATAAGATCAGGTTAGGTCGAGACCCGTCGAATTCGGGTACTTCAACCATCCCCGAAGGAGTTATGGACTCCATTATCTTTTCCCCCCTTTAATTGATTCAATTAGACGCCATTAAAGAATAAATACAAAATATTATTTGGAGGATTGAGAATTGAACTATAAACTTTTGGGGTGCATTTTTACCATTAGTTTTAAAGGGACTAAATACGAATTAAGCCATCTTCGTGGCAAAACCCCTGCCAAACATCTTCTTCAATGAAGTCATAATTTTCAAAATGTTAAAAGTAACAACAATATCAATGAAATTCAATCAATATAATTGATCAATGCAGGAGGTGTTGGAACAAAAGCTTCATCATTATGAGTCCTATTGCGGCGTCTACCCCAAACTTTCAACATTCCCTTCCATTTACATCTGTTGTCGATGCACTTGTCTAAACGTTCATCTTCAACTTTGATCCTCCAATGTCCATCGCTGAAGTTCGCTTCCTCGGCTCGCCTTCGATCGAACATGAGTTGCGCCTTTTGCATCGACGGTAACAAGCAGAATTGTTGCAGCACCTCCGGCATCGAATCGTGCACCTTCCACCACCTTCGGTGCGCGACGTCGCTCGCAAACTCCTGCATTATGTCCACGTTCCAGTTGCAGTCATAGTCCTTGAAGCACATCCATGGTTTTGTACCTAGGTAGTGTAGTACGTAGAGAATAGGCGGTTCCCATCCGAAAAGCCGAGTTTTCTCACGCTTGATTTCTTCCTCATCGCCTATCCAGAAATGCTTGAGGAAATTCATGTGCCGTGGGATCCGGTGCCACCATGTGAAAATCTCGTTTAAGTATCCTTGATCCCCGCCGTTGTACGACTCGAACATGTCGATGTGTTCCATCAGAAGCTGGAATGTGCAATTCGAGGGCTCGATGACCATGACACCGGAGTTGAAGAGGGTGCCGTTGTTTCCCGTGGCTGATATCTCTGGCATTGCAAATAAGAAATCGATGTTTCGAAGGATAAGCATGTCGGCATCGATGAATATGATCTTGTCATAATCGGTCAGTTGCCATAACCGGAACTTGCTGTAGTTCCATTCGTTGTATGCGTCTTTTTCGGCTTTCGGATTCCTGATCCTTTGAATTGTTCTCACTTTCCATCCTGCAGCCTCAAGTCCACTCCTGTGGTAAGCACTGATTGTCTCGTCCACAAGTATTACGAGGTCTCGGGTTGAGCCGGACAAGCGGATGCTTTGAGCAACGGCGATAGCTCCGCATACGTATACGTGAGCCGAATGGAGAATCGTCGCATATGCTTCTCGAGATGCATTCCCCGAATATATTGGCTCTGTAAATTAACAGAACATATTAGCTTCTAAGCAGGATGAGGCATTTTGTTTTAGGAATGATATGGGAACTGACCTTTGACATTAAAAGGAAGTGCAAGTTCACAAGACCCTGCAGGAAACTGAAGCTTTTCCCTCAACACATTCAGGTCTGGTTTGTATAACCAGACATCGTTTTCGTGTGCAACAAGTTCTTTGCAAGTGAACATGTTCGGGATCGGAAAACACCTCGAAACAAAAAGCACTTGCAGCGGATACAAGCCCTTGGCCGAGGTTGCAAGGCTAGCCGCTGCTAGCTGCAAATGCAGCCTAGCAACATCCCTTGACCAATTCCCCTCATTTCTACAAGGCAACTTAACAGCAATCAGATCAAGACGTTGTCCAGGGACCTCGATCTTCGGTAAATCCGGGCAAACGGGAACCTTTTCTTCTTGCTCCTCGTCGATCCATTCCGGATATAACGAATCCCAAGTTACATTCATGTCCGCATAATCCAAATGCAGCGCAATGTGGCTTGCATCAGGCATTAGGTGCTTCCAATGACCGACTTCAGTAGTATTGAAGTTCAAAAGTCCTATTCCCAGGTAATCATTCTGTTCGTCCATCGTCTCGATAACTTTCACAACACCGTCCCAGTCAGTATCGACATCCGATACATATCGAGAATCTGCTCCTCCCCATATCCACCTCTCTATATACCTTTCATAAAATCATCATGTCAGGCTTTTGAATCAAACAATTACGAAAACTGCCTCGGACATCGATGGCAACAAGAAATACAGTACAGGAAAGTATGCCGGCACACGTACCGGGATTTCGCGGCCGATAGATGGTCGGTTTTATAGGCGTCTGGAGAGCACAAAAGTGATACAAAAGTGCCGGAAACAATGACGATCAAAACAAGTTTGAGAAGAGGATACTTGCAGCACAAGTTCCGATCTTGGAAAGGCTTCCCGTAACCTTTTACCCTATTCTTATTTAACCTTCTTTTGTACAAGGCCTCACTGCAATAATTTTAATTAAATAAATAGATGAATGAACACTAACAATTAAGCAACCTGTAATCATCATCATCATCATAATAATAGTTGGTAGGTTAAGGTAACCGGAAAGAATCCTTTCAACTGAAGCAAAGATCTAACTTCACTTGTCAATATCTTAACAAGCAGTGATTTTGACGTTTGTTGATTAAACAGTATTTTGTCATACAATTAAGCAACGTTTTCCGGAGTAAGGGCTCGACTCGATTCAAAAATTGTTTGACTCGTGTTGGATTAAGGGTTCAACTCAATTAAAAAATTATTTGACTCATGTTTGATAAAGTTTTATTCGATATGTGCTCGTTAAAAAGAGTTGTTTTTAGACTTGACTCCTATTCATTAAACTCACCAGATTTTAAATGTTATTTTTAAAATATATTTAAAGTATAATAATAATATATAAAACTTAATATTAACATAAATTAACAAATTTAACCAAAAAATTTGATCAAAATAATATGTGAAACAGTTTGAAAGTTACAATCCACAAATACAACAAATTAACATATTATAACCAAAGTAATAATCCATAAATACACAAAATTAACATATTACAATATATAATAAAACCTAAAAATAAGACAATTAACATCCTATAAAATTATTTAAAAAGATTAATGAACTACCCGCGAATTTATCGAGTTAAACTTAAGTTAAACTAACTCGAGTCGAGAGTTAACCAAATTTTAATTAAATCGAGTTCGACTTGCTCACAAATTAAGATGGTTGGTATTATATTAAACTCAAAGGCTCTTTGATCGATCAGTTCATTCAAATCATATTATTAATTATCTAGGACTGCAACAAAAAAGGGTTCTCCGGTGATGAAACAAACACGAGAACCCAATACTAAAACTGGAAATTTTAAGCAATCAAATCAAGAGAGAGATGAACAATGAAAGAAAGGAACTCACATTGAAGAAGACAACCGATGTCTGTTGTCGACAGAACCAGACGAGTTTCCCCACATGATTCCTCTCATCTTTCTAAGAACCAGCAAAGTTCATGCATGCAACACCTGGTGATCCAGAAAGAGGACAATCATTTATATGAATCACCAACAAAAAAGCATGCTGATGGATCAATGAAAGGGTTCAAAAGTAGAACATTTATCGCGTTTCAAGATTTGGCTTATGAAAAGGACAAGTTTGGTTGCTTAATGATGATGATGAAAGGGATTTGGATTAAGAGTAAAGGAAGAAGGGGAAGCATAGAGGGCTTAAGCTGCTTTCAATAACTGTTTCACCAAACGGACTTGTCCAAAGTATAATTAATTTTCGTCATCTAAACAAAAACGGAAGGCTTTTATAAAATGGGTTCATGCATATAGCAATAAGCGTGGGGCTAAGTTTGTATTGAGATGAAGAAGGTGGGAGTTCCTTGTATGATGGAGCCTTTGCACCCACTTCGTCTCGTATACACGAATAAAAAAATTGAAACATCTTAATTAATCCATGAATTGTGAACACGAGGCTAGGGTTGTTTCAATGCTCCCTCATTCGATTTCCAATGACATTCATGGGTGTGTATTTGAAGCTAAGCAATGTAATGGATGGAGTTGGCTGGGGAGGGTTAGCAATGTCTAAAGATTGTCACCAGTGTCCCCTTTCAACTTGGTTAAGTACCGCATGTTTATAAATTTTAAAATCTCGGGGGGAAACCCTAAATTTCATAATCTTAAAGTTTAATACCGCCACCTAATGTCCATCCACCCGTCATCAAACTTTTAATGTCTGACATCCCTTTATTGTCGTCTCAATCTCTTAAAACCCTAATTTTTTTTATAAAATCCCTAATCTCTAATACCCAAATTCCTATTCTCAAAACATATTAGCACTATCATCCTTACAGTCACTTAACTGTCATCAGCCCTCCACTATTGATTATCTCCTTATTGTCGATCTAATCCCTTAACTTTTAAACTTAATTATAGAATCAGGGTCTTGGAGATTTGTGAATTAGGTTCTATAAATTTTAAGATATTTTGTTAAAAATAGAAAGAATTAATATTTTTTTAAATATTTATGAATCTTATTTTTTTAAAAAAATAAAAGAGAATAAAAATTAAACCATGAGTTAAATACTAGTTAATTAACTATTTTTGAGACATTTTAAACGAAAGTGATGAAATTAACCTTAAAATAATAACTTTTAAAACATTACGTACTTTGCCTAAAAAAAATAAACACCTAAAAGGCTTAATTAGAAAATAAGTGTTGAAATTTATATCATTTTTTCTAAATAGGTGTCTAATTTTTTTTCGATTCATCTAAGTGCCTAACGTTTCAAACGTTACCACTTTAGGTTTATCAACCGTAACATTCATTAAATTCTGCCTTTAAAAGACATATGTCACGTTCTCGTAATTTTAAAAAATTTATTATATTTAATAAAAAACCCAAAAATTTTGAAAAACTTAAAACCCCAAAACTTTAAATATCATAATTTCAATCCCTAATGATCGATAACCCCATGAAGAAACACCAGAATAGGAGTTAATCGACGCGTGTATCCCAACGAACCCCGAAACTACAAATTGCAATCCCAACGGTCGACTGGCGACAAGAATAACGATGACTGACTAGGAAGACAAGTACGACATCAATTGTAGTGGTCGTGACCGACAAGGACAATGTCGACGGGTTAGGGTTAAGATTTAGGTTTTTTGGAATTCTATTTTTTAATAGTTTAATAGAAATTAATATTATTTTTTAAAACATAATAATATTATCATTTAAAAAAAAATAAAATTATCAAAATGTGACATGTCACTTAACAGATGCTTTTAAAGGACATTACGGTCGGGCACCTAAAGTGATAACGTTAATAACTGGATGAATCGAAAAAAAATATAGACACCTATTTGAGAAAATGATATAATTTGGACACTTATTTTCTAACGAATCCCACCCAAAATAAATAAAACTTTGTTTTTCAATTAAACCTTATTTTTTTTACACCACAAGTTTTGATTTTGGTTGTGTATTATGATCAAGCGGTCCAAAACAAAACGTTCACCATCCAAAAGTATTAGACCTAAATAATAAGATTAGATGGTAGACCTAGACCCATTTAAGCTTAAATTCAAACATCGGAGGTCCTGATAAAATCTGGAAAAAAATATACTTATGACATCCATTTATGATGTATATAGATAGACCCAACCCAAACTAATATAAATTTAAGTTAAGATTTTTTTTGGTACGACATCCATGAGTTATGGTGCATTTAAAGTCTTTTCAATTTATTCATTAAACTTAATATATTGAGTTTTTTTTTCTCACTCGGTTCTTTCCTCACTAACAACGTTGTGATGTAGGGTTTTTTTTTCCAACGGGTAAATTACAAATTTAACCATTGGATTTTATTCTCTCTCTTATTTTACTCACTATACTTTTATTTTTTTCAATTTAATCATTGAACTTTATGAATGAGATTTTTTTGGTCAGTACTCTGTTAACAAATAAAAAAAGCCACGTCATAACGTTGTTAGTGAGGAAATGACTGAGTGATCAGAAAACTCAATATAATAAGTTCAGTGAGAAAATTGAAAAAAAAAACTAAAAGTACAGTGAGTATAATAAAAGAGAGAGTAAAGTTCAATTGCCAAATTTTTACTTTACCCATACTAATTTTGAAAATAATTTAATCTAAATCTCCCTTTTAAATTAGAAATAAACTCGGAATATCAGATGAAGTAAAATATAATTAATAATAATATATAAAAAACTAAAATTATATAATAATAAAAAAGTTATGGTAAACTACGCATTTAGTACCTAAACTATCAGTTTTGACCCGTTTAAATAGCTAAACTTTCAAAAAATTTAAAATCATACCTAATATTTAGTTTTTGTTTCATTTTAGTACTCCGCTGTTAAAAACTAAACGCTTTTAGTACATAAACTATCGATTTTGGTCTGTTTCAATACCTAAACTTTTAAGCTTTTTCAAAACTTCAAGTTAAATTTTGAATAGGGTTATTAAAATGAAACAAAAACTAAACTTTATGTATGGTTTTGAAAAAAAAAATGAAAATTTAAATAATAAAATGTAGTATGTAATTTACCTAAAAATTTAAATTCTTTAAAATATAAAATCATCCTTGAACACTTTATCAACCTATTTCGAAATATAAATAAAGTTAGAAAAAGTTTCTACTAATCGAGTACCTTCAAAGAATTGTTGTAGTCTTTAAATCGAGAAATTATTTTATGGACTAACTCACTACATCATCAATGATCTCGGTGAATTATATCCATCAATGTTAAAATAACTTTTAAAATAATTATACATTTCTTATTTACACGTAAAAAGAGGTGAAAATTCACTTTATAAAAAATAGAATGAACAAATATTACTTATTAGACCATAAATAATGTGATGATCGACCATCTAATAATCTTTCCAATAAATCATTCCATATCGGCAAAACATAGTGGAAAGGAATAGGCAAAAGAGGACCAAAAAGGGTTCAAAGATATAATGATAATACTAATTAGTGTTAATAATGTTACTAAAATGGGAATTGGCCGTCCAACTCAGTTGGTAAGAGCGCAAGTCTCTTAACCTTGTGATCGTGGGATCGAGTCTCACGGTGGACAATTCATAATTCTGACTGCCAAAGGTCTCCCACGGAAGTTACTCTCAACCTGACATTGAGGCCAGCCTACTATCCTACCTCCCCTTTACCTATTACATATGGGAATATGTATAGATAATGTTACTAAAATGGGACGGAGTGAGCTTCGGCCTTTTTGTCTAATCAAATGATGATGTTCTTTTGGTCATGGGTCAACTTAACTAGCCGATCAATGTCTCTTCAAAGTGGATTCTGAGCCCATCTTGTGCAACAGAATATATGTATTCATGTAAATATATCTTTAAGATAAAAGCTATATTCTCTATATCTAAATTTTAAAAGTAAAGATAAATTATACATTTAGTATTTAAATGATTAGTTTTAGTTTGTTTTAATATCTAAATTTTTAATTTTTGTTTCATTTTAGTACTCCACCTTTAATAACTTTAGTTTTTGTACCCATTTACGAAATTTAACGTTAAGTCTTGAAAAAATTGAAAGTTTAGGTATTAAACTGGATCATAACTGATAGTTTAGGTACTAAACGCATTAAGTTTTTAACGACGAGATACTTAAATGAAATGAAAACTAAACGGTAAGCGTGATTTTGAAAAAAATTAAAAGTTATGTATTAAATAGGATGAAAACTGATAGTTTATATAGTAAATACGTAGTTTACCCTAAAAATAATAATAGCAGTGCACGGTTGCATGATCTGCCTGCCCCTACCACTCATTTCACACTAAAAAGCACCTAATTCCACTATCATTTGCTTCCATACAAAAATATTCCCCCTAAATTATTCTTACCCAACACTTAATTCATTTATTATATTATATATAAGAAATTAAATAATTCGAGTTCTTATTTTTTTATTTCGATAGAAGTACGTTAAAAGAATTAAATAATAAATCATTAGTGAAAGATATTTCGAATAATAAATGTTGAATTCAGTATATTTAGAGATGGACTCAGGGACGGGTGAGGGCAGTCGCCCCCTGAAATTTTAAAATTACTATATATTTTAGATTTTTTAATGTTGGTATGATAGATATATGTATACATGTTGTGGGTTTGTGGGTAATTACAAATGATAATGAAATGTTGGTATGATAGATATATGTATATATGTTGGTGGAGGTTCCATCATCGACAAGTTGGGAATCCTTTACGTAATTTATTTACCAATTATGACATGAAAGATTTGGCTTATTATTTCATAGTCTATGTGATCACGACCATATATTTGAAAGATGCCTCTCGTTTATTCTTTCATTTGTTCGAGGAAAGATTTTATTTTAGGAGACGAAAATAAATTTTAAAGAGGATAAAAATAAATTATTAATAGAAAACATACATAAATAGTCTAAAAATATAGAAGAATTCAGGGTAAGTTACATGTTTAATTCCTAAACTATTAGTCTTGATCCATTTTAGTCCCTAAACTTTTAATTTTTTCAAAATCATACCTAAAGTTTAGTTTTTATTTCATTTTAGTATCCTTGTTCAAAATTTAACATGAAGTTTTGATTTTTTTTTAAAGTTTGGGTACTAAAATGAACCAAAATTGATAGTTTAGATACTAAACGTGTTAAGTTTTTAACTGTGGGTACTAAAATTAAAAAAAACTAAACATCAAATATGATTTTGAAAAAAATTAAAAGCTTAGATACTAAAATAGAC